CACACCACGCATATATGACACTGGGAGGTGTTCCGTCAGCGACGCGAATACGCGCAGCCACTTTGTAGTGACCATCTCCCCGTATTGCTGAGCCACTGTACACATGGACATGTTCTTCAATATGTCGGATTAGTCCAGGCAAGTAAGATAGCAAGGCTTCCCGCAGCATGAAGCGCAAGGAGGACAGGCGTGGAATGGAATCGATGGCCCATAGAGCCCTCTCCGCGTGATTGATGTAGATGGTATTGGCCAGGTAGAGGTCTAATATGAACCGTTTGACCGCGGCGGCGTTGAAGGTCTCCCCGAATTTGCCAATGATAAGTTGCAGGAATCTCTTCGTGAAGAAAACATGGGCTTGCTTCGCGCACTTAGCAACCAAAGTGCCCGGAAAACGATTCTGTATATCATTGACCTTGACAGGAAAGTAGAGCCCGCATGCAAGGCAACGCCATGGCCGAGTATCCAAAACTATGGGCGCCGGCAAATCTAGAATGTACCTGCTCGCGTGGCATTTTCTCCGCAGCACCACGATGCCTTTCCTCTGGCCATGCTTTCCACAAGGGCCATGCTGAATTGCGAGCAAAGGCTTGACCCGCGTGGCAGGCTGCACACCTGCAAAATGCACCGTTTCTTGTGCTTCGCACTCCGAGGCTTGACAGGGGTCCACCAAGGGAGGTATAGGTGCACACTGCCCGGTCTCCTCCAGCTCGCGTCCTTGACGTGAACCTGCGACAAAAGGGGAGCCCAGACACACAAAACACAGGAACGCATGGTACCACATAATTTTGGAAAACATCAGGAGCCCTGCATGCCATCAAGACAGGGGGCCCTGCCTTCAGAGTCCACTTGCTCGCTTGCATCCGCGGGGGCATGAACCCTGGACTCCACACGAAACAGCAGCCTTCCCTTCCTGAGGTTCCTTTTTTCCAGCACCAACACCTCCTGGCCCACTCTGCGCAGGGTCTGCTGCGGACAGCTGAAAATTTGCTTCCGGAAAGCTGAGTATGAAGCGCTATCCTCGCCTTGACTAAGGGGCAGAACATCAGTCATGAGTCTTTTCTTTCTGGTGTCTAGGTATGTGCCTACCACGTAGACAGGCTTCCCTTCGTGTTCTGCAAAGAGACCGCTTTGCGGCCGCTGGGGCTCATGCAGTCTGCAAGGCTCATGAAAAAGGTGCATCTGTGCCAAGTGCAGCTGTCGATCCCTGGTCCTGCCAGCAGCCAAACGGTGTGACAAGGGCATGACCGAGCCATTCCGTTGCAAGGGCTGTTCCAGCGTAGCTGCTGGCTCATTGGCATGGCACCGGTTAGCTTGTCTCTGTCTGCTGCTTTTGGGCTTTGACCGTTGCCTGGGGAAATGCCTGCGAGGTCGAAGTTCTGGTTCTGTCCACCCACATGGCCGTTTCCTGGGCAGCCGCTTCGGCCAAGCCCTGGCAGCAGGCCGCGCTGTTCGATTCGGCAAAGCCAGTGGCGCTGCAGGCTCCCAACGTTGGCGAGGTATCCATTGAGCACATCCTTTCCGGGCTTCCGCAGGTATCACCCAGGTGGCATCAAGGCCGCTAACGTTTTCGAGAAACCATGCATGGGCTGACTTGAAACCACTTTCCATGACCTCTTGTCGAATTGGCTCCGAGGCCATCTGCTCAGGCGTCAACTGACGAGCTGATGTCAGGCGCGCTGTGCCCACCACTCGCCCTGTCCGTGCCTCGGCAAGGAACACCAAGCCTCTGACGCTGGTGCTATGCGGCTTCACCAGGCAATTCACCTCGCCCTGCAAGAGTCGCTGCGCCCATACCGGCTGCACAAGCAACGCGCGGTCCGGCTGCGACATGCGAGCTGCCGTGTCACCACACCTACGTCTCAGCTCCGTTTGAAAAATGGCGTTTGCCTAATTTGGTGACTCGAAATCCAGAAACATGTCGATTTGGCTCAGTTCATTGCTATGGTGCTTCTCTCTGCGCCTTTGATACCGAGCTAGAAGCTGCAGCTTAAGGAACGATCTGCAAGTGAACTAACAAAGTCTGAGGCAGTGACATTGCCCTGTGCTAGAAACATACTACACTGCTATTCTCTTCTTGCAATTTCCTACCCAGCCTGATACGCGTCGGACCGACGCTGCATCTGGCTTGCTGCAGCGCTCCGACCTGCCAAGTTAGAAAGCTGCGGCACGGGAGCTGTCACGTCACCACACCTATATATCTTGGCCAGTTGCAGACCCCCTAGCTTTGCGTAGGACCATCTCGCGCGTTTTGTTGTAGATACTGGAGGAGAACCAAGCAGACGTAGCTAAAGCCGGTCGAGACCCTAGTTTTGAGTTGCAGCTTTTGTCCCCAAGCCTGATGTTCCGTACTGTCCACGCAGTCGTCAAGCACCACTTAACGGAGTGGACAGTTGCATAGCGAAAGGACCACGCATCCGCATGTCACCCCAAGGTCAACGGACCCCAAGCACCCGCTAGTCAAGCCTTCATCAGCTCCTCAATACTGAGAGGCCATCGCAATCATCTCTTCAACTTTGGCCACAGCAGCGAGGTGACGGAAACTTACAAGACCAAGTCTGAGAGTGATGGGGCGTCTGCCTCCCAATTTGCTCAGAAACATGAAACGGATCAGGGGTGCCACAGTGAGGCCGATCGGTCAATTGCCGGAAATCTTCGGGGTGAGAACACCGTCCACAATTTTTATCACATGGCTCACGGACAGCCTGCACCTCCAGACATTGGTTGCCTGAAGAGGTTCAACGTTTTCTTCACCACGCGTAGGCCCCAAGACCCTATAAACTCCTGCCACAGGCACCCAGCACAGAGATTGACATTCTTGAGTCCTTTTGGGCGCCTATAGTCCTTGAAGCTGTGAGGGGCTTCCGTGACCAGCATGGGGACATGTCGGCCGCACGGACCCAGAAACTCATGCGGCGACGTCTCAACTTGATCTTGATCCCAAGCAAGTGTGGACATCATGGATCCCACTTGCATGGATCCGACAGCTGCAAATTTTGGCTGACCTGCGAGATCGCATGGAAGCTCGCGTCCATGGAGGCACGCATGGCGCAGGACTGCGGACCCCAACAGGGCTCCAAGAGGACGGGCAAGAAGAACAAGAGGTCACGCCGATGAAGTGGATCATCACTGCACCATAGTGACCACGGACCTGAGGAACATTTTGCAAAACAAACCAAGGCAGCGCACCAAGAAACGAGTCGTGCCCCGCGAGGAACAAGACACAAAGACCGAACGCAAACATCATGTCCACGCGTTGCTTTCAACAGGCTGGGCTGATCCAGTGGGCCACGGTTGAAGCGCAGCCGAAAGCTGGAGTTGGTGAACATATATGTATCAGCTCTGCTTGAAATATTGCGCTTGCATCCGGTGTCTCGATTGTCGATCGACTCTGGCACTCGTCTCTGCGCCCTTGGTCCGGAGCTAGGGGCTGCAGCCTAACGAACGATCAGCAAGTGAATACCATCAGTGCTAAAAAGATATTCTGGCACTGCTGCAACGGCATGGAAAAATTACTGTAATAGATAATAAACCAGTCACACAATCACACTCATGCTGGAAGCGAACCGCAATTTGTCCTATCTTCTTTTCCATATTCTGCTGCAGTCGCAGATGCACACCAGCAGACTTTCAAAATTTGAACCTCAAAGGCTCAAAGATGCTGGGTGTTGCGCTTGCGGGCCATCCGGAATCATTCCCATGAGAAAACAGGTATCTGCATACGATGCACACATCTATGACGTCATATATGGTGGCTTTCATAGTTGTGCCCGCTGGCCTTCTGCAAGCGCGATAATCTACGCCCTTGGTGACGTGAATGGCATACTGCGGCCCTTCATGCGTCCACACAGGGGAAATTTTCCATGCCAATCTTCAACTTCCTGACCCACCCGGTCGCCTCATCATTTCCCACAATCTCCGACCAAGGCCTCTTGCGAAAGGTCAAAACTTCGTGTCCACCAACTCCAGCCTTCGGCTGCGCTTCATCCGTGGCCCACTGGATCAACCCAGCCTGCTTCAGCCGCTTGGTAGCTGAAAGCAACAGCTGGACATGGTGTTTGCGCTCGGTCTTTGTGTCTTGTTCTGGGTTCGCTGGGCGCGACTCCTCCCCCTGCTGTTTCTTGGTGCGCTTCCAGCCCCCCAATCGGCTAAGTTTGTTTTTCAAGATTTTCCTCAGGTCCTTGGTCACCACGGTGTCTGATGTGTCTGATGTTGCAGTGATGATCCACTTCATCAGCATGACCTCTTGTTCTTCTTGCCCGTCCTCCTGCGGCCCTGCTGGGGTCCGCAGTTCTCCAACATGCATGCTTCCATGCGAGCTTCGAAACGACTTCGTATGCCGCTGCAGCGCAGCAAAAAATTCCAGCTGTCGGATCCATGAGTGCAGCGCGTACTGCACGTCGATGATATCCACGCTTGCAGCCACTTGGTTGGGATCAAGTTGAGACATCGAAGCCAAGAAGCTCCTCATTTTGTTCACGCAATTTGCCCACCGGAGAATGTCGGTGTCGGCGTACATGAGTTTCTGGGTCCATGCGGCCGAAATGTCCCCATGCTGGTCAAGGAAGTCCCTCACAGCTTCGAGGACTACGCGCACCCACTGGCGAGCGAAAGGGCTCAAGGTAATGATGTCAATCTCTGTGCTGGCGGTCTGCGGCATTCTCGCCGCGAGCCAAGCCATCAAGTCGTGCAGGAGTTTGGAGCTCGCCTGCGTTGACTGCTCGGGAGAGTCTTGGGGCATGTGCGTGGTGAAGACCACGTTGAACCTCTTCACAAAACCAATGTCTGCAGCAGTGCCACCAGTGAGAACCTCCACGGTTGCTGGCACCTGTCCGTGGACCAGGTGATAGAAACTGTACACGATGTTGTTGTCCCGAAGATTTCCGGTGATCGATCTATCGGCCTCGCTGTGACACCACTTATTGATGTGGTTTTTCTGAGCAAATTGGGATGCGGGCACTCCATCACTCTCAGACTTGGTCTTGTATGTTTCCGTCACCTCGCTACTGGATAGGCCTGTGCGACCAAAGTTGAACAGGTTGTTGCGGTGGCCTCGCAACGTACCAGTGCCGCAAAAACTTTGGCTGGCCTGGGCGTGGGCCGGAATGGCGTCGCCTCCCAAGAGCTCACTTGTGAGGAACTGATGAAGGCTTGACTTACGGGCACTCGGCGGGGCTCCGAAAAAAGCTGGGATGCATGTGGTCCGTTGATGCATCTCTTGGGGTGACATGCGGATGCGTGCCCCTTCGCTATGCAACCACCCAACGTTAGCCATCAGGCCCTGGCACAAAGCCTCTGCGGACCAGCCTTGTTGCTTTGCGACTGTGCGGACAGCATGGAACATCGGGCTTGGGAGCAACAGCCGCAACTCAAACCTGGGATCTTGCCCGACTTCACCTACGTCTGCTTGGTTCTCCTCCACTATCTGCGTCAAAATGCACGAGATGGTCCTATGCAAAGCTTGGGAGTCTTGACAATTGGTAAACAAGTCTGCAGGCTCTAGGATGGCAGACAGCTCTTCGAGAGTTGTGACACCATGGAGGCGGTCTGCCAACGTACTCACCGGATCTGGTCGACTGTCAGACGCAGCCACTTCACGCAGGCGCAGCTCAAAGTTCAACCGCGCGCTACCTGTGACTGGACTGTTGCCGGTCGGCTGAGTCAGCGGCATGTCATCTTCTGGGCTAGAGCCCTGAGCACTCCTGACAATGTCGCGGTCACGGGCCGGCGGCGTGCCTAGAGCGCCCTCGGCCTCTGGAGTCGCCGGAAGCTCACCTTCCATCGTGCACTGGAGATTGCGGACTCACCGCTATGACTACCTATGTCTCTTGTGTGAGCAGGGGCTGCAAATACAACATGCGTTCTGACCCCATGTCTGCAAAAACAGTCTCTGAACGTGAGCTTTCTACTCCTGACTTGCATCTCGAACTAACATCTGTGCGCTCGGAGGAAAAGCGTAGCAAAGAACCTGCAAAGTGAGCTCTCCCGTGCCAATTCGCATCCTGGCCGGAACTGGACATTCAGTGGTCAGAATTGTAATCCAAAGCCAATCACCTTTTTGTTACAGAGTTCTGCACTGCATCTTCCTTGGCTCCACAGATTTAATCCGCCCCCATTGTCATGGCTTGTGTACATTTATGTACTACTCTACCCAACCAAGCGGGGAGCAGAAAAAAGGCATTTCCACTTACAAACCTCGAAGCTGGATCTCACAGGCCTGCAACCTGACTCTCAAAGAATCCAAGCGCTACATAGCACTCAAGCATCTGAGGGAAAGCTCGAAGAACTATGTATTGAGATCTGTTGTCTAGCCGTATATTTTTTTCCGATGTATTCTCCTGCCTCCTCTTGGGCAGAACGGGCCATGGCCTGTCCACGACTAAAAAATGTGTGCCTTGAAGAGAGAACTTGCGAGGCTCTAGTGAGAACCCGCGAGCACACCTCGAGTCGCATATAGGTTTCTAGATGTTCGGCCTTTTGCGTAGAGAAAAAGAGTATAAATGCATGGCCCGCTTTTCCTCCGTAGTTTGTCATTGCGTTCCTCTTGATGAAGGTGGCCAGATTGATCTTTCAATCATACCTCTACCTCATCAGTCTGTACCCCGGCATGAATCTTCTTGTCTCTGGGAAGAGTGAGTGCAGGAGAAGACCAGGTCTGAAGAGTGTCATGTAAAGAAGAAAGAGAGATCTACAGGTCTCAAGAAAAGAAAGCAAGCAATGCGTATATCAGTGGTGCGCCACTCTAAGTAATTGACTGGCGTGCCTACAACACATACTCGGAAGCGCCTACGGAAGGCTGAGCTTTCGCAAAAATACAAATCGATCATGCGAAGGCTTCTTCTGTGTGCCACCCAATAGCTTCTTATTGCTTTGCCCGACCTCTTACTTATTAACTAAGCCTGGATGCATTTAGTAAGGACTGGATGCATTCGCTACATGCTACTAAAAAGCTTGCTCGCTTGCTCGGACGCCAAATAGGTCACGATTCTTGCACGAAGCTCGTTTCTTTGAAGCTGCGTTCGCACTATCTGTTGGACTCATGGATTTTTAGGAAACTTAGTTTTTCATCTAGTAGCTTCTTATTGGCTTGCCTAATAGCTTCTTACCGGGTTTACTTACTTACTTACTTACGTAGAAACTTACTTAATGAGCATAGCGCACTCCCGAAAAGCAGGGATCGAATCATGATTTGCCAGCATCTCCGTTCATGATTCGTTGCCCCTTCTTTTAGGCTGCCCGCAAGATTAGAAATGCTGGAGGTGCCTACGGATAAACAAGCATTTCTGACATAACCTCCATATACTGCATGGTCGCAAAGGAGGGATCGAATCATGATTTGCCAGCAGGTCCGTTCATGATTCGTTGTTCCTTTTTTCCCTACTTAGAAACCCCGTCTTAACCCCGCGGCGTCGGAAAACAGACACCCTCCGCGTGAAGAGGTTCAACGTTTTCCGACGGTGTCTGTCGGATGGCCTCAAAGGAATCCCGCTGCTGTCTGCGGCCCGACGCTTCGCCCACCTTCCACCCGGAGCCGGGAGCGGTAGAGCTCCACGAGGAGCGCCCACTGGGTAGGTGCTGTAGTACTCGCTCGAGAGCCTGGAGTTCGGCAAGCGGACAGTCGCGTCGGAAACCGCATGGCTCTTCAATGCGTGAAGTCAAGTTTCGACAACCTCGTCCATCCAAGCCCTGATGTCACAGTGAATGCGCCAGTATCAAAAAGATGTTTAAAGGAAGTCAACCTCTGTCAGACGATGCAAAGACTACTTACTCCCTTCAATGGCAGGCAGGTACTTTAACCAACCCATTCCGATGGAAATGGTTACAATTCTTCGCAACAAAAGGCAACATCAAAGCTTCAAATCCTGGATATGCAATGGTTTGCGTGTGACCTATGTCATGTCAGACAACTATGTCTCCAATTCTATCTGCGTCCAATCTGCCCTCACAGGTACCTCTGCAAGCATCCTTGGAGACTCGGGATGCCACTGTCGTTCCGCGGGAGATCTGGAAAGGGATGTGGAGATGTGGACATGTCAGGAACTCAAACAATCTCCAAAAGTTCAAAAAAATCATCAAGTCATCTGCTTCATCGAGTCACCTACAAATCGATCAATGAAACATCAGCTTCCTGCTTAGTCCTGCGAAAATGGATGAAATATATGATGAGCATTCGAAAGTGGAGTTCTGGACGCAGCGAGCGCGCAAGCATGGGCGAGGCACCTAGGACATCTGGCTGCTTGGATCTCGAAGAAGTTCCTGCACGTAAGCCTCACATGGATCGATCTGGAAAGCTGCAACACGTGACTTTCAGAGCAGCTTCAACCTCTAGCCCTGGACATGCTCAGTCGAGCAGGAAAGCCAATATTGAAACCCTCGTCGCCCAGCACGCCTGGCTTCCCATCAGCTTGAACTAAAAGCACTACGCAACCAGCCAGAAGCCACCGAGGATACATAGGCTTAACCTCAATGACATACGAAACTCATTGGGTAACCTCAATGGGGGACCACCGGCCACCACTGACCGCCCCTCAAGAATCAAAAACGTATCGAAACGCAGTTTGGAATCCTTCTCGAAAGCAGAAAAAAGGCAATCCACGGAAAAGGTCACTTTTCAGTCGTTGAGATTCTCTTGAGTGATTGAGTTCCATTGGCCAGGGCACTGCCCAACAAAAATCCGAGCTCGCCGTTTGCGCACATGGCTCTTTGTTGGCAGCT